CAATATATACTATGTAAAAAAATGAACTATGGAACTTGTGGGTAAGCATGGGAGGGCAAAAATGGTGAGAAAGCGAAGGAAGGGATGACATTATCTCTTTACTCATTAGAGCACTATATTCATAACATGACTCTTGAAATTGTAACCCTTTTGTATAGCTCCTTAAAAATAAAAGTAAAAATTAAAAAAAATAATAAGGTAAAAATAATTTATGGTTCTTTTTTTGTTTTTCTTGCAACTATGTATCCCCAGATGGCCTTAACATCCTCCTCCCTCTGGGATGGAATTACAGACTGAGCCCCCATTCCCAACTCTACAACACATTTCTAATGACTTTTCCCCAAAACACTGTATTTTGTTGTTTAAAGTAAAATTTGTAGTTATGGATAAATTCCATCCCCTTCAGTAATCTCTTAACATTTTTTTTTTTTGGTCGGTCGTGGGGCTTGAACTCTGGGCACGGGCGCTGTCCCTCAGCTCTTCAGCTCAAGGCGAGCGCTCTACCACTTGAGCTACAGCGCCACTTCCAGTTTTCTGGTGGTTTATTGGAGATAGGAGTCTCACGGTCTCTCCTGCCAGGGCTGGCTTTGAACCGCGATCCTCAGATCTCAGCCTCCTGAGTAGCTAGGATTACAGGCGTGAGCCACCAGCACCCAGCCTCTTAACATTTTCTTAACTGCAAATAATGAAGATATTGCTTATAAATTTTTATATAAAAATATTAAAACTATATCCTTCACTAAAATTGAACACATTAAATTATTACTTGAATATATGATGTGGCAGGATTACAGGTAATTTTTATTCTATTCTAACTCATGCTAATTGTTGCTTTATGATATTTGATAGAAAGTAAAGATTATTGCTAAAAAATTTCTTTTCAAAAAGAGCCCAGGCATAGTGGTCCATACTTGTAATCCTAGCTACTTGGGAAGCAGAAACTGGGAGATTATGGCTTGAAGTCACCCTGGGCAAAAAAACTTGCAAGACTTATCTCAACCAATAAAGAAAGCTGGGCACAGTGGTAGGGCTACAAAGGAAGTACAAATTGGAAAATCAAGATCTAGTTTAACTTGAGCATAAATTCAAGACCACAGGTCAACAGGTGGAAATATGGCTTAAGTGGTAGAGTATCTGCCTAGTAATAAGAACCATGACACTAAATTCAAACCCAAAAAATGCAAAAACAAAAACAAAAAATATAGTACTAGTAGTAACATGTTAACTAGCAGTAACACTGGGTGTACCATATGAATGTCTTACAAATTAATTTTTAAAAAGAAAATAATACTACTCAGCATCCACCCAAAGAATTCAGCTCAAAAAATTTAAAAAAAGAGAAAAAAAACTCTCCCTAATAGTCTGTCCATCTCAAAACTGAACTAAGTAAAGAATTGGGCATAATTCACATAAATCACCAAATAATGCACATTATTAATTGAAATAAATCTTTAAAACAAAGGTTGATAATCTGAGTACCAAGTTTTAAAAATCACCTTTACTAGAGGAATAAAGTGGGATGGGAAAGGCAAGAATCTTATAAAATGCTGTGCTTCTTAATGCTGACACAATTGACAAAATTGCTGTTAAGACTATTGACAGTACAGAAACATTTCAGCCACTAGGTGGCAGGCTAAAAAAATAAATAGTAAAAAAAATAAAGCTATGCAAGTGCACATTTAGTTACTGGTAAATGTTGGAACTGAAAAAGGCCCACTTCTCACTATTGATAGTATTATAAGAAAGTGGAGATTTAGTGAGTAATTCACATAATACTCTAAGGAAGAGACTAGAGATGAGTTTGGAAATGCCTCCAGGATGAATCTTTTTTTTGGGGGGGGAGGTGGAGGGGGTATAGGTTGTAGTGCTAGGGAACAAACTTGAACATACTAGATAAGAACTCTACCATAAAACACAACTTCTTGACTCTAGTGGAGGCCAAAGGGGAGGAAAAAAAGAAAGAAAATACTCCGTGTGGGAAAGCTACCCAGATACCTTGACCTTAACCTTATATAACCTTATCTCCAAAATATTTTTCTCCCTGTCTGAAACCCTTCCTGGAAGTACAGAAAACTACAACCCTAATTTGCACACAAAATATATGAAAGCTAGCCAGGTGCCAGTGGCTTACACCTGTAATCCTAGCTACTCAGGAGGCTGAGATCTGAGGTTCAAAGCCAGCCCGGGCAGGAAACTCTTATCTCCAAGAAACCACCAGAAAACTGGAAGTGGCACTGTAGCTCAAGTGGTAGAGCGTTATCCTTGAGCTGAAGAGCTGAGGGACAGTGCTCAGGCCCAGAGTTCAAGCCCTATGACCGCCAAAAAAAAAAAAAGTATACACACACACACACACACACACAAAAGCTATCCTCCAAGTTTATAAGGATATCAGAGGTAAACAAACTGTAACATAACTGGGAGACATAACTGGGTTACAGTGAACAGCCTGATGTTAATAGTAACAATAATAGGATCATCTGTATGCTAATTGAAAAAGCCAGTTTGGTGATCAGACTCTATACATGTAAGAAACTGTCCCATCCAATGAACATGAAATACCAGATTCATGAAGCCATAAGTAAAATGAACAGAAATGCATCAGTGTGTCATAGTCTAATGATGAGTTATTCATATAATCTTACTAATCCCTCTAGGCTCCATATAATCTTACTAATCCCTCTGAACTCTTAACTCCCAAGTATATAAATAAGTAAAATGTTTCCCAAACTCTGTTGTGCAGCATAATAAAAGTTTAATATACTCCCAACATTAAGTGATAGAGCAATGATATATTTGTTGTTCGTTTGTTGCTGGTCCTGGCAGTTGAACTCAGGGCTTGGGTACTATTCTTGAACTATTTTTTGCACAATGCTAGTGCTCTACCACTTCAACCAGTTTCACTGCCAGCTCTTTGCTGGCCCATTAATGATAAAAGTCTTATGGCCTGTCTTGTCTGGGCTGGCTTTGAATCACGATTCTCAGATCTCAGCCTCCTGAGTAGCTTGGATTACAGGTGTAAGCCACTGCAGCCCAGCAATTTTCAACTAGGAGCCATCTCACATATTGGAGCTCTTATTTAAGATGTAATTAGAGAAAGATGAATAAAATTTCCTAAAATAATAATATTTTATTCCTTCACCTGGATGACAGCTATCAAGAGATTAGATCTTTTAACTTTTAGCAGTGCTGGGGTCTGAACTCCAGAGTTTTATACTTGCAGGACAGGCACTTTATTATTTGAGCCACCTCTCCACCCCAAGATAATAGATTTAAAACTTTTTCAAAGTTTAGGTATGTCCCACATTCTTTTCTATAGTTAGCAACTTTTTAAAATGTTCAAAGAAACAAATATATTTATCCTCCTTTATATTCTTAAAACAGTCTTTGCCCTTTCCTGAAAATCAGAAACATCAATTTATTAACAAAATGGAGTTCAAGTGGGAAGTCCCTTCAAGATTTACTTCTAGGGTTGGGAAGGCGGCTCAGTGGTAGAGCACTTGCCTTGTATTCATGAGGCCCTGGGTTCGATTCCCCAGCACCACATAAGCAGAAAAAAGCTGGAAGTGGCGCTGTGGCTCAAGTGGTAGAACACTAGCCTTGAGCTGAAGAGCTGAGGGACAGCACCCAGGCCCAGAGTTCAGGCCCACGACCGGACCCGAAAAAAAAGAAAAAAAGATTTACTTCTAGACATTCTGATAATTGGGCACCAGGCTTACAGTGAACTATGCTTAGTAAACAGGTGTTTGAGAAAATATTCTTAGTCATTCAAAACCATACATAAGGGCTGAGAATGTGGCTTAGTGGTAGAGTGCTTGCCTAGCATGCATGAAGTCCTGGGTTCGATTACTCAGTACTACATAAACAGAAAAGGCCAGAAGTGGTACTGTGGCTGAAGTGGTAGAATGCTAGCCTTGAAAAAAAGAAGCCCATGAACAGGCCCTGAGTTCAAGTACCAGGACTGGCCAAAAAAAAAAAAAAGTAAGAACTGTAAGAACTGGGGTGTTAAGCGATAGAGCCACTGTGTTTGATCTCTCGTACCACAAAAACAAACCCAAACCAGTATATACTCAGTCTACAAAGTATCTTATTGTGATTTCTCTTATATATATGATTTACATTTTCAATAATCAATTATTCCCCAAATCCTCACATAAAGAGCTACACTTTAAAAAATATTTTTTCTATGTTCGGTCCACTTAAACAAAATTTCTATTTTTAAAGATTTCTTTTCTTTTTTCAATATCAAGTCTCAATTCTCTAGAAATAAAAATCTAAGTGATCACGCTAATACACATACAGCCAAACGTTCTATTAAATTTAATCATTTTATTTAATTCTTTTTCCTTATTTGTAATGCAGTAAGGAAAAGTGCTAAATGTGTCCAGAGTAAAAGTGTGAAAGGTGTCTACAGTAAGTCTGAAAAAAATGTTGGTATAATACAAAGAAATGTAATTTTTTTTCCTTATAAAAAAGGCTGGAAAGTGGGGCTGGGAAGGTGGCTCAGTGGTAGAGCGCTTGCCTTGCATGCCTGAGGCCCTGGGTTCGATTCCTCAGCACCACATAAGCAAAACAAAAAAAGCCGGAAGTGGCGCTGTGGCTCAAGTGGTAGAGCGCTAGCCTTGAGCTGAAGAGCTGAGGGACAGCGCCCAGGCCCAGAGTTCAGGCCCCCCGCCCGGACCCAAAAAAAAAAAAAAAAAGGCTGGAAAGGAAAACTAGTAAAACTCAGTTATTGGGTGGGATTCTTTTGGTTGTTTTCAAACAAATAATAAAAATCCATTCAAAAAATTAATTTCTAATTAGATTCTTCAAAACATTTTAACTTTTGCTACTCAGATGCAATGGAGAGTAAATCTTACATACACAGCTCAATTTTCTTCATGTAAAGACCACCCAGAGAAAGATACAAATGTAAAGATAGATTGGAAAGTTGTATTTGAAAAAAGCCAAGAGACTATATACATTACCTGTTCTCTAACCCAGAACACTTTTATTTTTCATACCTCAAACTCATCTTGGGTACTGTGAACATTGCACCACCTGGCCACAGGTTCAGGAACCACTTCCCAATCCTCGCAGACTTGCTTAAGGATATTCACGAATGTTGACTTCCCTGCAGCTGTCAGGACAGGAAAGGTGAAATTGAGGAATGCAACTTGTCAGAAAGAAAAAAAACAAAAAAAGCCAAATAGTGACCAGGTTTTACAAGATAATTAAAAACACCAAACTCAGTTTTCTAAACTTCCTCTGCATTTTTTTAAAATGAAAACTGAAAGGTTGCTGTCCCTGCCCACTTCCGTTGAACACATTTGTTTAGTCATTGAACAGAGGAACTTAATATCTGGTAAAACCGCAGGCAAGGTGTCCTGAAAAACAACAAAAAAATTCGACTTCTTAAGATTCACTTTCGTTAGCCAAACAACTGCCAACTACTAATTATTATCAATTACTACCTACTTTTGAAGTAGTTAAGGCTATTTCTCTCTTAACTAGATGCATGAATTTGAGCAGCTCCCAAGCCTCTGAACATAAAGTACTCTCCTCTTAAAAATAGTTGTGATAACCAGTTAATTGTTATGAGCTGACAGTCATTCCAAGCTCTTGCATCTCAAAAATTTCCTGAGTTCTATTTTTTCTATCTACAAAGCTCAGTTCCTCTTCTATCTTATACCATAGTGGTACATGCTTATAATCCCAGCATTTGGGTTGGCTGAGGCAGTAAGATGGGGTAAGCAAGACTAGCTGGGCTACATAGTGAAACCTTGTCTAAAAATATATATATATTAAGAAGAAAGAAGAAGGGAGAAGGAAGGAGGAGGAGGAGGAGGAGGAGGAAGAAGGAGGAGGTAGAAGGAAGATGAAGAAGAAGAAGAGGAGGAAGAGGAGGAGAAGAAACTAATTAGACTGGGCACTGATAGCTCAAGCTTGTTATCCTAGTTCAGAAGGCTGAGAGCCTAGTTCAGGAGGCTGAGATCCTGAGAATTGCAGTTCAAAGCCAGGCAGGGTGGAAAAGCCTAAGAGATTCTATCTCCAACATAACCAGCAAACAGCAAAACAGGGGAGGTTGCTCTTGTGGTGGGATGTGAGCCAAGCGAGCAAACCAAGCAAGTACAATACCCTTAGTTCAAACAATATGAAAACATGACCACTTAGTTTTAAAGTAAGAAATAATACTACTATCTGAAACTAATAAACACTATGGTCAATAGAAACAATTCAAAGTTTTGTAAAGCACTTTCTACATGTCATGCTCTCTTCATTTGTTTTCATGACTCTGTTTTACAGGATTTTCATGGTAGGTAGAGAGATAGGGAAAGAGATAGGGAGAGGAGGAGGGGGAGGGAGAGAAGGCTGAGGGCAGAAACGAGGGAAGGAGTTTACTTTTCCCTGATACCATTCATTAGTTTTGACATATGCAGGGGGTAATCAGGATATACTGTGCACACAGTAATTTTAAATTAGCCAAGAACGTGTCACGTTTCATAGTAGGGACAATCCTGACATCGTATCTAATAGGGTACAGCGATTCTAATGACACCGCACCCTTTCTATCTGGAGCCACCAAATGTGGTTATATTTGACATCGCTGCTCAGCAATATGTTCTTGTTCTCCCCTTGCCCAAGAACATATAATTTACATATAATTTCAACTTATACACAAGCAAAGCTTTTTTTGCCTTATGAAATGGAAAAAGGAAGGCAACAAAAGAACTTACCTTTGACTTGCCGAATTATATTCAACCTTCCAACATTATACAGGGCAAGAGAAAAGATCACACAGAACATAAAAAGGAGGTAAAGGAGTGGCACAAAAGGACAGAACAGAAGCAAAACCTTGCTACAAAAGCCCTCTTTTTGCCAGAAAACGGGAAAAAACATTTAAGGATAAACTGTGTGGCAATCAGTTTGCTGTGGGAAAAGCATTGGTGCCTAGAATTTTGCATTCAAAGGGTGAAGTTAGGGTTTGTAGGGCACTTACAAAAATGATTTTCAATGATCAACAACCCCACTGAGCTACACTAAGAGAATATGATGTTAAGAAATAACAACCAAGCCGGGCGCTGGTGGCTCACACCTGTAATCCTAGCTACTCAGGAGGCTGAGATCTGAGGATTGAGTTTCAAAGCGAGCCTGAGCAGAAAAGTCCATGAGACTCTTATCTGCAATAAACCACTCAGAAAACCGGAAGTGGTGCTGTGGCTCGAGAGGTAGAGCTGAAGAGTGCAGGGATGGTGCCAAAGCCCAGAGTTCAAGCCCCACAATTGACCAAAAAAAAAACAAAAATACAACCAAGGAACACATTAAAACATCAGCCAATAACTGTCTTAAACCACTTAAGGGTTAACACTTTAAACTTTCTTCTGATACTGACTAGTAGTAGTGTGACCATATTTCAAAAACTTTTAATTCATGTAGAATAACCACTGCTGTAGTTCATAAGTGATCATCTATTTCCTTAACTTCTGACAGGGAATGGGAGCTAGAAAATGTTATTTAATGAATTCATATTCTATGAAGGTGAAAAAGAACAAAAACCAAGGTGCTTTTTTTTTTTTTGCACGTTTCAGGATTTGAACTCAACAGTCTATGGTCCCACTTGGCTAGTTTGCTCCACCACTTGAGCCATACCTCCAGCCTAGCTTTTTGTGGAGATGGAATGTCTCAGACTTTCTCCCCAGTCTGGCTTTGAACCTTGATCTGGTTCTCAGCCTCCTGAGAAGCTAGACTCATAGGCAAGAGCCACTGGTACCTTGTTCATGTCAGTATTTTTTAAACTCATGGGAACGAAAAAATTCCTAATACTAAGCAGTTATTCTGATACTACTAGTCATTCTGAACAGATAAAGCCTCCACAAATGTAACGTGAAACTGTACTTTAGTAATATAAGACAAGAACATTGAGTAGAAACCTAAAATGACCAAAATAGAGGAAATGCATAACAAGTCTTCTACACAGATTAACAATCTGTACATTGATTGTTTATTTGGACCTGGTGCTATAGTAAGGTGGAAAAGACTTGAACCATTAAAAAATAATGAACAGCAACTGACAAAGTGACATAATAAGGAACACAAAATATAGTGAGATACACACTCCCTTTGGCTAAATACCAATTGTTGTTATGCAGAAATATAGGACTAATGTTACCAGACCTTCAGATTATTCATTGGAAACCAAGGACTTAGATGTTTATGTAAACATTTCAAAATGTTTTAATCCTCGTTTTCCCAAATCTGTGCACATGTTCATATTGTGCAAATGTATCCGTATTCAGCTCCTTTTAGAGTAAGTAACAAGAAAGTCAATGAGGGATTTTAAGCAGGGATAACAACTGTATTTACATACAGAAAGATGTGTCTGAGAGCAGTTAAGTGAAAATGGAGGTTGAGTGACACATTAGGAAATTATTTCAGGTCCTGAGAATAAAGATGGCTGGAGGAAAGTTTGAAGGTATTTTATTTCCTGAATGGATTGCAGAAGAAAAGGGACTAATACACAGTGGTATTTGATCTGTGGGGCTGTCCATCAAATTAGCTCTCAAGATAGCTTTGTTTAACTACTTTCTCCAGTTTTTACTTATGGCCTTTTTCAATTCAGAGGCTGTGAGGAGTTATGCTGATATCCTGATTGCATTCTGGAAAAACTTAGACTGCTGACAGGAAAAGAGGGTTTGTTTCACTGAAAGGTGTCTGGAGCTCAGATTTCTTCTGTTCTTTTGAATACTTAGAACCTCTGCTTGTCTTACTTTTTTAAAGAAAACTTTGAATGCGGCAAGAATTAAAATATTTGCTGTATGCAGATTGGCCCCAAAATAAAATTTCTATCAAAAACAGGAAGTATCCATCAGTGATGGGTTTCCAGTGTTAGGAAATATAGAAGACTCAGGAACAGACATTCATCTTGCAAATGATATGCATAATGTAGGTGAGCCCAATCAGGGTTAATAAAAATGCTAGTGATGTTTGAACCATGATTCAATGTTTACTTGGATATTTGGTAAGGTGAGGGAGGGATACCCTAACTGAGATCATTAGGAGCTGCTTTCCCTGTGTTTAAATAGTTATGGTAGTTTGATTAACAATCACTAAAAACTGAAGATAAACCCAAATGTCCACAAATGGTTGTGGTTCAGCCATGCAATGGAAGACTACTCACCAATTAAAAACAGCAAGTAACATGATGCCTCTCAAAAGCATCGTGCTCAATAAAAGAAATGTCACAAAAATCCAGATACCCTATGATTCTATTAATATGACATTCTGGCAAATTTTTCAGAGATGAAGAAAATCAGGTCAGCAGTTGACAGCGGGTAGGAAGGGAAGAAAGCTGTCTGTAAAGAAGTACAAAGGCAGCTTGGGGAAATGTTCTCTAGATGTGGTAGGATAGCAATTAGGTCTACGAAATAACAATAACAACAACAAGAGGAGGAGGAGGATGTGACTTAGGCGCCCTCGACAAGCCCCCGGCCCCAGAATATTCTGTTTACATTTCCAACAGTGCAGTGGCCCTTCGGGTTCCTCACAAAGGCCGGGGCGGCGGCGGCGGGAAGGCAGCGCGGGGCAGCGCGGG